AGGAGGCGGAGCTTGCAGTGAGCTGAGATCCGGCCACTGCACTCCAGCCTGGGCAACAGAGCCAGACTCAGTCTCAAAAAAAAAAAAAAGATTGAGTTAAGACCAGGCTCATGCCTTTAATTCCAGCACTTTGGGAGGCCAGGGTGGACAGATCATCTGAGCTCAGGAGTTCGAGACCAGCTTGGCCAACGTGGTGAAACCCTGTCTCTATAAAACACAAAAATGTCCAGCCTGGCAAACATGGCGAAACCCCGTCTCTACTAAAAATACAAAAAAGTTAGCAGGGTGCCGTGGCTCATGCCTATAATCCCAGTTACTTGGGAGGCTGAAGAGGGAGATTTGTGTGAACCTGGGAGGTAGAGGTTGCAGTGAGCCAAGATCACGCCACTGCACTCTAGCCTGGGCAACAGAGCAAGACTCTGTCTTAAAAAAAAAAAAAAAGATTGAGTTTAAAGTTAGGCTTCAATTTTCTTTTTTCTTTTTCTTTTTTTTTTGAGACAAAGTCTCGCACTTTTGCCCAGGTTGGAGTGTAGTGGCTCGATCTCGGCTCACTGCAAGCTCTGCCTCCAGGGTTCATGCCATTCTCCTGCGTCAGCCTCCGGAGTAGCTGGGACTGTAGGTGCTCGCTACCACACCCGGCTAATTTTTGTATTTTTGGTAGAGACGGGGTTTCACCGTGTTAGCCAGGGTGGTCTCGATCTCCTGACCTCGTGATCCACTCACCTCGGCCTCCCAAAGTGCTGGGATTACAGGCGTGAGCCACCGCACCTGGCAGGATTTTCTTAATGTTGGTTGTTTTTAAGTTAAGATTTGTAGTTGTCCAAGAAATAAGATTTGGGTTTGGTTTAGAGTTGGGTTAGCTATTAAGTTCATGTAAAAGCTAGATTAGAGAGACACTGGGCTGCATTTAGGGCTAGATGTGTCATTTGTTCAATGGGCATTAGGATTAGGAGCTGCTTGTAATAGGCAAGGTTTGCTCACTTTGGTCAGGGATTCTGAAAGAGTGGGATCCCGTGGAGTCTGGCCCAGTTTGATTGAAATCAGCCTCCAGCTTCATTCCAGGCCACAAGGCTATGAGGCCGGTATGAGACGGATGGACAGGCCTCTTTGTCTGCCCATCACCAGGCCTTGGTGCTAGTGATGACACCGTCACTCCGCCATGGTATCCAGGCATGGAGAATGCCTCAGTCAGTCCCCAGCCCATTGGAACAAAAGAGGCTTCCCACCTGGCCTCCTGTGCCCCCATTTAAGGGCTCGAGCCATAGAAGTTTTGATGGGATTACTCACATGGACCTCCTCCTTCCATTCTCTTGGGAGGCTCAAGAAGGGAGTAAGGGGATTAGCAGAGCCCTCCTGTCAGGAGACTTGAGGTGTCCAGGGCCCCAGAATTCTCCGTGTCCTGGGGTGGAGGCGGGAGGCCATCTGCATATGAAAGAACCTCAGTGTCTCAGGGGTGGAGGCTAATGGGTTTGTTTTTCCTCAGAGGGACAGTCCTTCAGCTGACAGTTGCCATCTCAGCTCCCTCCCCACCAAGAAAGGATGTGGCTCTTGGCTCAGAACTGCCCCCTCTTTGCTTTCTTTCCTCTCCTTTCCCACAGGTGCAGCTGTATTTCTGTACTCCACTTTCTCCCGGGCCTGGGCCTGGCGCATGCTGCCAGCCACCTGCTCAGGCCTCAAGCCCCAGCTCACATATTCCAAACCTTTAGCTCCAAATCAGTAGATATCTGGGGCTACCTAGACCTGACTGAGGGCTTTCAGCAACTGGCCCCTTGTCCTAAGTGGAGTTTCACAGACCTGGGCATGTGGGCTGGGGCAGGGGCAGAGAGAGTCTGTGTCTCCCTACTCTTAAAGAGCTCCACGGGGCAAGCTCAGTGCCCACTCTGACAAGCAGAGCTGGCACCTTCTCCCATCTCTTCTCAGGCTTGCCTCTTGCACAGTGAGCTTTTTCTTCTCTCCTGTCCTAGTGAAGGGAAAGAACAGCAGCTCCCCACGGTGGATTCCCCCAGGCTTGCAGCAGGCATTGGGGAATGGGCATAAGCTGAGGGTGTGGGCCCGAGTCCGGGAAGGCCCTTGTGCTGCTGTGGGAGAGGAGCTCCCCACGGCCCCTCACCTGTCACTGCTCTCTCCCAGGTCCAGAAAGCAGCCCAGGCCTTTAACTCCGGGCTGCTATGTGTGGCATGTGGTTCATACCGACGGGGAAAGGCAACCTGTGGTGATGTCGACGTGCTCATCACTCACCCAGATGGCCGGTCCCACCGGGGTATCTTCAGCCGCCTCCTTGACAGCCTTCGGCAGCAAGGTATGAGCTCCATCTCTGGGTGAGCAGGTTGACAGAGGGCAGCACAGGGCTGGGGGCCCCTGAGGGAGAACCTTAGAAGTTCCAGTCCCGAGGCAGGAAGCAGAGGAACGGTGCTTTGCCAGCATCCCATCTCTATCGGGGCTGGAATCCTCTCCAGGGAGAGATGAAGCAGCCCTGCCACACCTATGTGGAGGTGCTCAGTGAACCCTGCAGGCTGAATATCTCATCTGATCTTTCTGTGACACTATGGGGCAGATGGGAATTGCTATCCATGTTTTACAGAAAAGGAGAAGGGCCCAGAGAGGGTAGTGTCACCCAGCTAATACCTGGGCAAGCCCCAGCTTAGAGATCAGGAGAGACCTGAGAGTATGGGATAGCCCAGGCCTGGCTCCCTGCCCTCCCAGCAGTCCCCTCTATTGGGCCAGGGTTCCTCACAGATGACTTGGTGAGCCAAGAGGAGAATGGTCAGCAACAGAAGTACTTGGGGGTGTGCCGGCTCCCAGGGCCAGGGTGGCGACACCGGCGCCTGGACATCATCGTGGTGCCCTACAGCGAGTTTGCCTGTGCCCTGCTCTACTTTACCGGCTCTGCACACTTCAACCGCTCCATGCGAGCCCTGGCCAAGACCAAGGGCATGAGTCTGTCAGAACATGCCCTCAGCACTGCTGTGGTCCGGAACACCCATGGCTGCAAGATGGGGCCTGGCCGAGTGCTGCCCACTCCCACTGAGAAGGATGTCTTCAGGCTCTTAGGCCTCCCCTACCGAGAACCTGCTGAGCGGGACTGGTGACCCATGGCTGGGGGTGCGGAGGAGAGCTGAGTTGGACTGGCTACCCCTCCTGGCCACCCAGTGGAGTACTCCCTCCAGCCTCAGCTGGCCAAACCTTGCTGCTCCAACCACCAGCTTCCTCAGCGAGCTGGGCCCAGGGCTCTGGGCCTGAAGCGAGAGCCAGCATGGCTCCCAGTGTCTACCCAGTCCTCTCCCAGACAGGAGCAGGCTGCCTCGAAGAATTTTGCAAGTGGCCCCTTATCCCATTTTAAGCAGGAGCAGGTGGCTGATTTGAAGCCCTAGGCATCCCCCTTCCCTGCTGTGAGAAAGGCTGAGCTGCTGGGTGGGGACAGAAGCTGCCGGGGAGAGGGAAGCAGCTGTGCTGTCAACATCGTCCAAGACCCTCTGGGGTAGGAGAACAGCCATTCCACATGTGTTCCCTCCACCCATGCTGCTTCCTGGGCAGCTGGTGGTGCTGGGAATGGGGTGCCCCAGCCTCGGTGAGGACAGTGTTGGAAGGCCCAGGGGCCCAGTAAAGTGCATTTGACATTGAACTTGCCTGGTGTCTGAACTGCTGCAGCTTCTACCTACCTTCTTCCACCCAGGCAGGGACGACGGAGATGGGAACTGAAAAGAGGAGCCCAGAAAGGCTGTGTTAACTGCCCTCTAGACAGGACTGGCGTGAGTCAGCTCCTAAACTCACAGCAAGGATAGCAGTGGTTGTGACCAGGGAGAATCGTGGAGTCAGGCACCTGGAGCTCCTATCTAGCCATCACCAACTTCTGCAGGCCCTGCCTTAGACCAGGCTATCAGGGACATAAGCAAAAGTGGCAAGACTCAGGAAACCATTAGGAACAACTAAATAGTGACCTGTGTACACAGGGATGGGCGGCCAGGGAAGGCTTCCCGGAGGAGGAGAGAGGCAGACTGGCAGGGAAATTGCCCCTGAGAGGAGTCAGCAGGCTCTGTTGGGGGACAATTAAGGACCAGCTTTAGAGAGGACACTGTGTGCTGGGAGTCAGGAGCAGGCTGGGCTGGTAGAGGACTGGAAGCAGAGCTTGGTTTGATAGAGCAGACGAGAGCAGGTCCCGCTGGGGAGTGCAGGATGGCTTCCTGAGGCTGTTTCGCAGGGCAGGGAGACTTGGTGGGGGAGTGGGGGCATGGAAGGAGATTCAGGCAGCCCAGGTATGAGGAGGAGCGGGCACAGAGTCAGAAGGAGACTGTATTGGAGGAGGAGCGAGGAGTCTGGAGAGGCCCTGTGCTGGGGTTTGGGTGGTGACGCGTGAGGCCAGCTTTGGCTCCAGAGGGGGAATCCCACCTTGAGTGTGCTGGATGGGCGACATGCCTGTTGGTAACTTGCAGAGTCGCGGAGCCAGCCTTTGTCTGCCTGGTCTCGATCATGGGATCCTGGCAGCCTGGGAGTAGGCCCCCCAACTCAAGCTCACACCCCTGACGTGTAAGTCAGGGAGTCTTCCCATCACTGATCATATTGGGAAAGGAATCAGAAGCCCACAGGACCTGGAGGGCCCTTTCACAGCTCAGCACCAACCCGAGAGATGGCCAATCAAAAGCCCAGAAGCCTTCTGGAGGGGCGAGCCTCTCCCCCAAGAACGTTTACTCCCAGAGACACATGGCTGCCAAGAGCCACAGTGGGCCTGGGTAGACAGGAGAGGGACTGGGGAAAGCCTGAGCCCCCGGGTGTGAAGGCTACTTTTGGTCCCTCTCTGGACTGGTCCCTCAATGCCTGCTGCTGTCCCCAGCAAGAGTTGGAGTCAGCAGAAGTCCAAAGACGCGTGTCTGGGTCCAAATGTGGAAGTTGCTTCTCTCCTTTTGCCCCAGCCTGCTCCAGGCCCAAGGAACAGGACCTCCAGGGCCAGAGGTGGAGGGAACCAGTGTGCAGCAGGCCATAGAGTAGCTCACCCAAGTTCTTTTCCTACACAGAGGGAGGTCCCGGGACTGCAGGGAGGGATACTGCTTGCTTCTTTGTGTGAAATCAGGGTCTGACCTCCATTCTTGACATCCCTGCCCATCTGCCTTAACTCCTTCCCCCAGGAGACTCAGAATTCAGAGACTGCCTGGAAACCATGCAGACTCCTGGTCCTACCTCCTGGCCAGGGCAACACAAAGTCATGGGATAAAGAGGGAGCATGCCCCACCTCCAGCAACCCATCTGGGTGACCCTTTGGCTGCCCAGTCTGACACATAAGCCCAGGAGAACAGCCACTGAGGCAGAGGAGCTGATGGAGGGATTTCTGAGTCTTGAGAAAGGCTTCCCAGTTTGGGGGTGAAATGAGGTTCTCTGAGTCCAAGTAAGCAAGAAATGTGAGTATTGGGGGTTCCAAGGCACTTTAGTGCTGAACCTGGTTCTTGAGCAGGCTTTCAGCCCAGTCTCCCATCCTGCCAGACAGGGAGACTCCATTGCAGGGCCCTGGTGGGAACTCGGGTTCTGTCCAGCAACTGAGCACCCCACACACCTACCACCCAGTCACCACCTGGCTTGGAGTAGGTGGAGAGAGACCCCACAAGCCTGTTCCCTGCTCTAGCCCAGTTCTTCATCACTCTGTCCCTGAGCCAGGGTTGTCCTTGGACGAGCCAGAGTTGTCCTTGGACAGGCCACATGTGGCAGGCAGAATAATGGTCCACTGAAGATGTCCATGTCTTAATCCCTGGAACCTGTGAATATGTCACCTTAGTTGGCTGGAGGGACTCTGTAGATGTGATGAAGCTTAAGCATTTTGAGATGAGGTGATTATGCTGGGGAATCCTGTGGGCCCAATGTAAACATGAGTTCTTAAGAGCAACAGTCATGGCCAGGTGCGGTGGCTCAGGCCTGTAATCCCAACACTTTGAGAGGCCAAGGCGGGCGGATCACTTGAGTCCCGGAGTTTGAGGCCAGCCTAGCCAACATGGCAAAACCCCGTCTCTACAAAAAAAAAATACAAAAGTTAGCGAGGCGTGGCCAGACGTGGTGGTGCCTATAATCCCAGCTACTTGGGAGGCTGAGGTGGGAGGATCACCTGAGCCTGGGAGGCAGAGGTTGCAGAGGTTCCAGTGACCTGAGATTACACCACTGCACTCCAGCCTGAGCTATAACAGAGTGAGACCCTGTCTCAAAAAAAAACAAAAAACAAAAAACAAAAAAACTACAATCAGAGAGACTTGATGAGGAAAGGTCAGAGAGATGCAAAGTTTCTGGCTTTGAAGATGGGGAAAGATCTCCAGCAGAGTGTGAGCAACCTCTAGGAGTCAGAGAAGGCAGGGAACAGCTTCTACTCTAGAGCCTGCAGAAGGATGGCAGCCCTGCTGATGCCTGGCCTTATCTTAGGGAGGCCTGTTGGATTTTGAGCTGGTGGAACTGTGAGATAATGACTTTGTTGTTTAAGCCAGTAAGTTGGTGTAATTTGTTAATGTGACTGCAGAAACCCAATAGACTGTGTGTTGGGCTCTCCCTGTACAAAGGCAGAGGGACAGCAAGTGTGAGCAAGCCCTGCTGTGAGGTAGAGGGCATCCTCTGAAGTGTGTGGGGAAAAGGGAGCCTCACATGAGCCCAGGGCCACCACATGTTCAGTCTGAGCCTCCCTAATTTCAGTTTCTTCCTGACACTTTGTGCAAGATGCAAGTCCCCCATGGGCTGCTCTGCCCACCCCGACTGAGCTCGGAGCTTCATCTTTTCCCAGGGCCTGGGGTGGCGACCTCAGTCTTGACCTTAGACCTACACTAAAAGGAGCAAGACAGGCCCTGTCCTTTCCTCCTGGGTTCCAGCTGCTCACAGCACAGGTGTGGGCACCAGGAAAGGGGAACAAGACAGGCCCCGGCCTTTCCTCCTGGGTTCTGGCTGCTCACAAGGCAGGTGTGGGCATGGGGCAGGGGCTTCCCAGGCAGCACCTGGAGTGGGCACAAGGTGGGCAAGTCCAGCTGTGTCCCATCCTACAGTTCCAATGGCTGGGAAAGGCAAACCCAGGCCCATTGTCTTGCTTCTCCAGGAGAATCATGGAATTACTCTCCCTTTAAATGGAACAGGATGCCTCTTGCCAGGATGGAGGACTGGCTTGGAGAAGACTTAGGCACCCCAAACAGGGGCGCCCCTTTCCAGGCCCTCCCCTGTTATCTGAGGGAGCGGCCTCCCATGCAAGTTACAGATGTTGGGGCACCTGCTGCTGCTGGGCTTACAGGCCTTGATGGGCTCCGCCACAGGCGCCTTTGGCCCTATGTCTGCGCTGCCCTTAGTTTTCCAGAACCCTTGGTTCTGGAAGGGCAGTACTGCTTCTGAGCTCTGGAACTGGGGAGTCCTCAGGGATGAAGCCCCCAGCTGGCCTGAGGCTCTGGGCCAGGTCTCAGCCTCATCATCCTACTGGGGTGTCTCGGCAAGACCTGGTCCCCACACTGCAGGGAATGTCCCTGAAGAAGGCCCCAGGCCTGGAGATGAAGAGAGGTCCCAGGGGCTGAGGGGCCATGGGTAGGGCCCCGAGGTTGCCCCTGGAGGGCAGTACAGATGCCAGGGAAGGCAGGCCACTGCCCGTTGCTTGAGTGGAGCCTCTTAGCAATGGTGACACCTTTGCCCTGCTGGACTCAGCCTGGCCCTGATGGAGCAGGCCCAGAGCCCCAGACACAGTGCACCTCCCCCTGACCCCTTGCTCCGGTTCCCTCAGCTCGGTTGTTATGTGTGTAGTGCCCATGCATATGTGTGTTCATGTTCCACTGCAGGGGGATGTGTGTGCCTAACGCACATTCCTGGACCCTGCGTCTGTGCTGCGTGTTCATGATTTTGTCTCTGCGTGTGTGTGTGTGCTCAACCCTGGGCATGTGTCCACGTGGCCCTGTCTGTTTAGGTCTCAGTGGAGGCCCTGTGTTGTTAAGGGCTCAGGCAGGGCGTTGGGTAGGAGGAGGTGGGAGTCCCTGGAAGTCCCCAGTGGTGCTGGAGTCCCTGCAGCAGGTGGAGCCCTGGCTGGGCCCCGGACCCTGTGTCCTCATGTCCATGGAGGAGGCCGCAGGGTGGGCCGCCTGCGTCAGCCTTGAGCGACCATCAATAGCGTGCGGTTAATTAATTTGATGGGAACAGCAGGGACCGCCGTTTGCATTTAGTGAAGTTCCAGGAACTTCCAACCTCATCTTCATAATTGGCCTCATAAATTGTAAGAAAGAGATCAGCAAAGCGGGAGGGAGGAGGGGCTGCCCGTCCGTCCTTATTTAATTTTATTGCTGAAATTCATCTTTTTAGTCTCCTCCGCCGGAATCGGCTCTCCCTGCCGGATTTGCCTAATCATGATAAATTAATATTCATTTCCCCGCCTCTTACCCAGCTCCCGCGCTTGGATGGAGTTGGGGAGGGTCTCCTTCCAGCCCCTCAGCTGGGCCTTGGTGGGAGCGTGGGGGAATGAGCTTGTGTGCGGAACTGAAAGTGACACCTGGGGAGGGTAGAAGGGGCCTGGGAGAAAGATGGGGAGTGAAGCAGGTGGGGCTGGATAATTAGGACTCTCAGAGGGCCTAGGATGCTGAGGTCAATGCCCCCTGCCCAGCTAGGGCCAGGTGGGAGGGGCAGGAAGAGCCTGAGAAG